AAGGCCATTCATATGATACACATATTGACTATTCATATGTGAAAATAGTGTTAAGTCGTGTTAACATGACCATGATGGACCGAGATGGTGTCCATGTTCATCTCCATTCCAAGGCCTTTCGTATGATACCCATAATGAAAAAATGATGTTAAGTCGTGTTAACTCGACCATGATTGACCGAGATGGTGTCCATGTTCATTTCCGTTCCAAGGCCTTTCATATGATGAAGATGTTTCTAGGAACCTTCTCCAGACCAAGAGCTTTCCAACGGTATCTTTGGATCCGAAATCGGATGAACGTTTTGGCCAAACATTCGGGACATACATACATACAACTTTTTTTATATATATAAGATAATTTATTTTCATTCTTGGATTTTGCCCACGGCATGAAAATCGCGTGCAAAATTAGCACGGATGCACGTTAAGGTCACAAGAATTTAAAGAAAAAAATCCACTCCATACCAATACCTATACCGTAAGCAATTAAAAAGACAAATAACTTGAGCGGTTTTTTGACAGAATTTTAATCGATGGTCGAACAAAGCAACAATATTGGTTGGTATGGTCATAGAATGACAAAAAAATGTTTTGAAATTAATTCTACACTACAATCGAAAATGAGAAGGAAATCATCCGATTACTCAGCTAAATTGGTTCAGCTATTCGTCACCTGAAAAATACACATCGATCAAAAAGATCAAACCAATTTCCTATTTTGTGAAAAAAATATGCAAAATTACCATTGTTAGTAGACAATTGAATCTATTCAAAATGCTCTGCAATATTAATTTTGTTTCCTTTACCGATAAAAAGTCTGACGACTTCATTGTGATCTAAAAATAATACAGATCAATGAAAAAGATCAAATCAATATCTTATTTAGTCAGCTTAACCATTGTTAACAGCTACTTGAAGAGGCGTCTGATTCGCATTATTTTTAATGACAGTATTGGCTCCTTTATCGATGAGAAGCTTGGCGATACTTTTATAACCTAAAAAGTAATTTAGATTGATGAAAAAGAGCAAATCAATCTTCTATTAGTAAGGACAAGTATCCAATTCTAGATCCAATTATTACCATTCTGAGCAGCTAAATGAAGAGGTGTGTTTTTCGCAGTATTTTCACTATTAACATTGGCTCCTTTACTAATGAGCGATTCGACAACATTCTTGTGACCTGAAAAATAACACAGATCGATGAAAAAAATAAAAATGTTTTCCTATTTAGTGAGAACAAATAATCAACATTACCATTCAAAGCAGCTAAATGAAGGGGTGTATTATTACGATAATTTACCATTTCATAATCAGCTCCTTTCCTGAGTAGAAGTTCAACGACATCTTTATGACCTGAAAAATAATTTTGATCGATGAATAAGATCAAATCAATCTTTTATTTAGTGAAACTCTCAAAATCTCGTAGACAGCGTTTTTAATGTGTAGAAACGTAAATGGACATTCCGGAGCACAGCAATCGTGTAATGTGTAAGTTATGGTGTGGCCGAAAAAA